GAAAATCCTTATTTGTTAAAATATTGACTTGCAAATAGTGAGATCCATCTAAATTAGAGATGGTGAGAAGTTAGTATAAAGATTCAGTCTTAGATCACACATCGGAAAAAGGAGGAAAAGGAATAAGTTTGGGAGTGTGAATTTTACGAGTGATGAAAGTAAAAAATTTGACCATCAGGGGTCGGAGATTGAAACAACTGGGGAATTTATAGTGTTTTACTTAATTCTTCACACATACACATCAATTTTGTATTGGAAAAGCAGATATTGATTTTGGTAATGCGACCTTGAAGCTGTTTATAGATTTAATACAATGACTCCAATTCTGAAAAAAATGGCAGGTTATCTAACCAAAACATTTTGCATGTTTGTGTGTTAGTTAAGTTAGGTTGTGATTTTGTTTGAGAACAAACAAATGTTTAAATTTGGGGGTGTTTGATAAATGTATTTTATGCACTTACTTGGACATAAAAATATCGACATTTAATAGTTCTTTTGAACAATTATAGCCTAATTTATTGTATATTTCGTTTATTAGGTAAAACTCGATGAATGGAAGTTGAACTAAAAGAAAGAAACGAAAATTGGCAAAAAGGCCTATATTATAAGAGATCCAAAGTTCAAGGACTAAAGTGCAAATACTTAAAAGTTATTCGGACCTTACAATGAAGATTCGTGAGTGCTATGAGTCAATTTGATAAAGAATTTAAAAGTCAAAGGGATGAAATATGATCAAATCATGATCACATATCAATTTCCAACAAAAAAAAATTATTCTCCAGATTTTTAGTCTCATATTGAGACCTATTTTTGACATAACAAACAATTAAATTGGAAAATGATATCTGAAGCAAAGTTGTAATCTTTTAAGTTAGCTTTTCAACTTACTTTGAATCGCTTAAATAAGATATCGAAAGAAAAAGTTATGATAAAAATACTAAAGGAAGTGCAGTCGCCACCAAAACGGATCCATGACAGCACTCCTATGACATCGAGGCATCACCTGGGTGCGACTAGGGCGTGTTTTTTGGCCCGTTTTAAAGTCCATGAAACTTTACTTTTGACACAAACGAGGAAGCAACTATAAATATAAGTTTTCACACTTTTGAAGGGATTGACACACATTAGGAGGCAAAAACACACTTTGAGATTCAAAAAAGCAATTCAATAGAGAAAAACAACAAGCAATTCACTGTTTAAAGCATTGATTGGAAGAGGAAGAAGATTTTGTGCAAGATTGAATTTTTTTCTACATCTATACTAAAAATTCGGTGATATATTGTATGACGATTTATTGTTTTTCCTTTTTTATTATAAGTAACTAAAATTCTTCTCAGGGAGAATAATGTAACCTTCTTGGGATCCTCTATGTTTTTTAATTAAGATTCTCGTTCTTTATTTTTTTTCATATGTTAATTTCATTATGAGTTCAATGCATCAAATTACTTGATCACTAATTTGATGATTTGCAAATCTTTTACGAACCGAAGGGTGAGTTTAGGATTTAGACCTTATAGTAAAATTCGGTAAATTGTTATAATATGTAGAGATACCTATAATAATTATTGCGATCATAATTGAACTCTTAGAACAAAGAATTTGTTTAACTAAGTTTGATTGCATAAAGATATGTAATTAAATTAGTTCAATACACTCAATGAGAATTCAAGAAGGGTACATTAAATACAATAGGAGAATTCAATCGAATACTACATTAGATATGAATCTTGATTTAAGATGTAAAAGCAATCGATAGAAAAAATTATTCTGCCCTAATATTTGTTCATCATTTAAACTTCAAACCAATTTTTGTGTGCATCCACATAGTCGTACGCATTTAAATTAAAAAATCAAGACATACAAATCTTTGATTGCTTTGTCGAATAGTATTTAGAAAGAAATGAGATTAAGTGCGAAAGTTTAATCCTTGCGGAAATGATAATCCGGACTCAAAGGTCCATTATTCTACTTGTTCGATATCATACACTTGCGACATTAAAAACACATGCTCGTATAAATGATAGATCCTATTGTTGATACATAAGTAATATTATTCATGTGATTCCTCTCATCATGTATTTTAAGACACGTCTTTTAAGAGGTAAATCTCATGTGACATGGGACACAATCTTCTCTTATATTCTTTCAGGTTAAATCTTTTCAAGATTTTATCTATGTACGAAGACTAGGATAAGCCAAGCAATTTTTTAGATCTATTTCTATAGATCTTAATTCATCAGATACAAGTTTCTTCTCTCATGTCTTTCATGGAGAAATTCTTGGACAGTCACAATTTTATCAATGGAAGCATTAGGATTTTTTTTCACTAATAATATATTATATGCATATAATATTAGGAATACGACAGTGCTCCCACTTGCCTTCTTGTAAACACATGATTCATTTTTATTTTTTTTATAAACTCAAACATTTTGATTGTCTCATCAAAGAAAAAATTCTAGCTCCTAGAGACTTGCTTATCAAGCTTGCATACCTAATCTTCTTTGAATTCAAAACTTTCGGGTTGTGTCATGCACACTTCCTCTTACAAGTTTCTGCTAAGGAAAACAGTTTTGACATCCATTTGTCATATCTTATAATCATGATATACAACTATTGCAAGCAAAATCCAAATGGATTTTAGCATGACTACAAGCGAAAAGGTTTTCATCAAAGTCAATACCTTATCTTTGTTTGTAACATTTTGCTACTAGCATTGCTTTGTATGTAGGATGTTTCCATCCACGTCGACCTTTTTTTTGTAAACACCCATTTAAAAACACGTCATCAGAAGAGTTGACCAAGGTTCAAACTTTGTTTTTATACATTGAGTTCATTTCAAATTTCATGGCCCCATGTTATCTATTTGTGTCAACACTTTACTTTGATTCTACGTAATTAGTGGATTTATCATCCTCGATTAGTAATACTTTATTAGTAATCATGAATTTGTACCTTCTAAGAGGTCAAATGGTCTTACTTGATTTATGTTGAGCCAGAGTGTCCTTAGGAGTCTCTATGTCCTGATCAAGAGTTTTTCCTTAGTAGGTGTAGGATCAAACTTGGGTTCATCTAATAGGTCAACAATATCTGTAGATTCCTGAACTTCTTCAAGTTCTAATTTTCTCCAACTATCCTCTTTTAGAATGAACTATTTCTCTAGCAATATGGCATGTCTGAGATGAACACCTTCTTCTAAAAATGATTATAGAATTTATATTCAATTATTTCTTTTGGATATCCTACAAATATACATTTATCGGATTCAGTCTCAAACTTATCTGATTCAATGCACTTCACATAAACGTCACAGCCACAAACTTTCATATGAGATAAATGGGCCTTCTTCCTTTTCATAACTCGTATGGATTTTTATTGACCGATTTGAATGGGACGCGATTTAGTGAATAGCACGCAGCAATTATTGCATGAACCCAAAACGATTTTGGGAGGCTTACATGGCTTATCATTTATCACAGCATATCTAATAATGTGCGGCTCCTCAATTCAGATACATCATTGTGCTATAGTGTATGTGGCAAAGTTCACTACATGAGAATTTCATTTTCTTTTAGCTAATCTAAAAATTCTCCTTATAGATATTCTCCACTTAGATCAGATCTTAGCGTGAAAATACCTTTTAGATCAGATCTTAGCGTGAAAATACCTTTACATGTTTGTTTCTCTACTTCAAGCTTGAACTCCTTGGACTTTTCAAGTGTTTCATGCTTAAATTTCATCAGATATACATAACTATTTCTAGAATGAGTATCAATAAATATAATGAAGTAAGAGAAACCACCTTTAACGGTAATTGACATAGGTCCATATACATCAATTTATATTAGGCCCAACAATTGTGCAGCTCTTTCTCCTTTTCCACAAAAAAAAAAAAAAAAAAAAAAAAAAAAAAAAAGGAAATTTAGTTATCATGCCTAATAGGTACAATTCGCATTTGTTGATCTCAAGTATCCATCTCTACGTAATTTGAAAATTGGTTTCCCATTTATATGACCTAGTCTGCAATACCAAAGATAGATATTATTTAGATTATCAATTTTATGCATTTATTTTCTATACTCATAATAAATTACTCAAATAAAAAATATAGATGTCATTTTGTAGTACACCATAATCATAATTGATCTCATCTTGATAAAATGAACAACAATTGTTCTTAACATTAGTTGAAAAACAATTAAAGTCCAAACATGAAATAAAAATATTATTTTTAGTAATGGCTGAAACAAAATAATAATTTTCTAATTATATTACTAAGCCCAAATGCAATGTTAAAAAATATATTCTTACTACCAATACAGCAACTCTTGCTCCATTCTCTACGCACGTCAACTTCTCTCTTCTGCAGTGATTTACTTTTCTTTAGTCCATGCATATTTATACAAATATGAGATTTATATTTGGTATCTAATATCCAAGAAGCTAATGAAGTAGACTTATTAACCTCGATAACAAGTATACCTAAAAATGAAGCTTCAGAAATCTTTCTTCAAGCTTTCGAATTTGATTAATTTTCTTGTTGAAGAGTCAAATTTTACCCTACAGTAAATTTTGTTTTCAGGTGGACGATTTTTGAAGGTTGATTCATTACATAAAATATGGTTCACTGTGAAGTTATGTTAAAGTTTAACCCAAATTCAGTTGGATTTTTATTAGAAATAAAAATAATATTGTTTCCCTTGTATTGCACATACTATTTCCATCTTTAAAAAATATTGTTAAAAATTTTAATATGTCCTCTATATATAATCGACTCTTCTTTACAACTTAGACACATTATACAGTTACATAATATTATAAACACAATATTCAATGTATTCTTTCTCCATTTCTCTGCCAATTTTCTTGTGTTTTTTCATGTTGTGATCGTTACTTCATATTTTGTCATATATCTCACTTGCTATTATCAAATGATATCATTCAACACATACACAATTCTTGTTAATTACCCATCATTACGAATAATAAGAACTTAAAAGGAAACTGTAACAGTAATTTTTCAAATTCGGTCGTAATAAAGTCGGTAGATTGTCAATGGGTATTCGTGGTACGCTAATTCAACCTCCCAGATCTGGGCTGACCCATCCCAGTTCGCAGAATTTTATACAAAGGTTACTTCCTTGTAGAATACCATCACTAGGCATATCTTTTATGTTCCCCTTGAAAGCTTCGTTTTACATGCACGCTCTCGATCAAACCAAAAGACACAGCAAAACTTAATATAAAGATACACATACTATATAAGAATAGTTGCTCATCAATGACCAATTTTCGGCCTTTCATGTGATCTACGGAGAAGCTATACATGGCTGAGCTTAATTTGTGAAACTCCCAAGGCATAACCCTTCTTTGCCCCTCGCATAAAAGGGTATTCCAGACAAAATATTAGAAGCCTAAACTTTCCGTAAGCTTGCAATTGCACTCCTAGACTAGACTATATGCAGTTCTCAGCTTCAAGTGCTATGGTCGCGTCAAACGACTTTTAGCCTGCAAGAATTTCCATTTTACATTAGACGGCCTAAGATCAATCAAACGCAATTTATTGCTAAGCAATTAGGATAAGACAGAATTTTTTTATTTTTTTCAAACTATTTATGTAAATAAAAACTTACATGGTTATAAAGGAAAATGTGGTAAGTTTGTGGATAGAAAACTATTGCCAAGGTTGTGATAGTGAGACGATAGGAGTTGACGCCATGAGACCTTGCTTGCCATGTATCGCAGATTTGAGCACATTGTACTGCTCGTTGACAGAAGAATACAGTGATTGTGTATATGCCACCTTTGCCTGCAATAACAAATTACCATACTAAATTGTCCGACATCCAAATGTCCATGAATGTGGGATTAATCTCCAATTACAATATCTAAAGACTGCTATTAAAAGTCGGATCAGACTGGACAAATGTGGTATAAGCTTCATAACAAACGCTATTCCTAAATCTGTACCACCATAGTTGATAGGTGGTTTCAAATGAGTATAGGAGAGAACATAAAAATCTACCTAGATAAATTTCTACATATAGAAAGAGTGTAACAATTCTCACCCATTTCTTTCTTCAACTGTTTCTCAAGTTTTGACACTCAGATTAACGTGCACATAAAATTGAAAGATTAGCATTTTTTTTTTTTTTAAAAGTTTATAACACCAGATGAGTACTCTAGTACGCTGGCAATTAAGATCCTCATCATTTAAAATGACCAAAACTGATATTTGAGTTTGTGTATTCAAGGTGAACCTAAAACTGAGATAATTGGTTCCAATAATACCCATACGAGTATAGACATCTCATGGAAACAATAAGAAGTTTAAAACACTCAGCATGTTTCCACTGTACCATGCATTGACCAATGAAACTTTCAACCTTCACTGATACAACAATATTTGACCCAACCATCTAAAATGAATTGGTTTATGCATGTTCAGAAGAGGAGCGGAGCCAAGATCCAGTCCCACTGGGGTCAAACTTAACTAAATTTTTTTCTCTAAATAAGACAAAAATGTAATATTAAATCTCCGACCTACAATTGTTCCTTATTGATTTCCATACTTCTAATGTGTTATATAATATCTTCATTATTAAATTCAATGAGTATATTTTTTCAATATACATATCGAAATTGTCATTTTCCTACTACTTGATTTCTTTATAACTTCTTAATTTTATCGAATTACATAAATGTACTTATCTAGGCTTCCAATTGTAATACACCATACGAGTCTTTGAAAAATGATGAAAATGAGAGAAATATATCCTAGAGATGAGGGAAGAGAAATCAATGCAAGATATAGAATAATACAGGGTTCAAACTTTGACTATTTTTCCTGAGTTTGTAATAAATTAGTCAACTTTGGAAATCTGGTCAAATAATAAAGAATTGGTCAATTATGTCATGCAAACAAAAAGGCATGATGATGATGATGAGGATGAGGATGAGGAGGTGAAGGAGGAGGAGCGGTGAATAAAATGGATCAAATAAGTGGATGATCCCATCATATACATAAAGAATTTTAATTTATTTTCTTGGCATTCTGGGAATCATCTGGAGAGTACAGACCGGAGAGAGAAAAGGGAAATGGGATAGGAAAACTGATTGCAAGTCCGAAACAGAAACAGAAAAGCAAAGATATTGGAAGAAAAAGAAGAAGAGAAGATAGACAGCAGCATCCGTTGCTGGATTTTTGAGTTGGTCCAAAATTTAAACCTAAAGTATGTAGTCTAATTTTATCACTTTGCTTTGTCTTAATTCTTTTATTTGAAGGGTTGCAAAAAATTAAGAGAAGAGAGATGGGGTAATATTTGATTACAGGTATATGTGTATGCATGGCGATGAAGTTGGGAGAGGAAATCAGGAGCCAGATTAATTAGAATTGTTTGTGCGTGGATGGGGGCGTGATGTTAAGAGTTACATGGAAAATAAAATAAAGCTAGATAGATTTGAGTTTTGTGCAAATAGCGTGGAGTGGAATCAAGGTTAGAAATATAGAAATGGAAAGGGGAAGGAATTATAGAATGCAATTTGGCAAGGTGAATGTAAATATGGATCTGCAGTGAGAGTTGAAGTAAATTAAAATTTTTGTTCATGACCTCATGTGGGTCCACCTATGCACAAGACTGTGAGCGTTAAAGAAAGCTATAAAGCAAAAAAGATGGTGCTCATACTTTAGGGTAGCAATTACATTTCTAATATCATATCTAGCTCTATGTAAGGTCAAAAGACAATATGTTAACAAAAAAGAAGGATCGTATTATTGAGAAAAATCTGAATGATGGATCATGCGTTTGGATAAAGATACAAAACTGAAGGCTATCTTGAGTTAAAAAGAGCCATCCAGTTAAAAAAATAAAAAATCTTTGTATAGACAAATCAGAAGTAGATGGTGAAACTAAGAGGAACAAAAAATGAGATTTATAAGAAGTAACCTCTTCAGGGTCTTCCATAGCAGCAGCAATTTCATGATAACTGATATTGGGTGCAACTGACAATCCAGTACCATGAAAGGAAATCAATCTTTTCTCACCAATTTCTTTCTCAACCTACAAATAAGTATGCCAGACAGATGTAGATGAACAAAAAAGACCCCATGGATCAAGAAACAATAAGCCAAGTGTAAGAAGATACCTGTGCAGGAGGCGGCATAATATCGTAGCACAGCATTGCTAAGGGGTATATATTACCAGGATTCCCAGCATGTTCAGTTAGCCTTCTCATATTGTCCACCGAGGATGCATCAAAAGGTGCCTGTAAATTTACCGAGAAGAACCGATCATCATGGCACTACAAAAAGAGATAGGCTAAACCAAGCAAAAGATGAAATTATGAGAGAAGATAGTTTGAAAATCAATCACCAACCATGATGGAAAATGAACACAAACAATCAGGGCTACAAAAATTCTTTTCTAATAGTAAATACAGGTAGGAAGTACAAATAGAAGTGTTTGTTTCTCATAATAAACTTTTGTAGACTCAAAACAGTGCAGCAGTATTACAGCAGCATCACATACTAATTAGTCCTATAACATATTAATCTTACAACGATGTGAACACAGAAAAAACCAGCGAAGGGTGGCATTCATCCCAGAGTAATCGTTGTGGAAGAAGCATGACCAACTGATGGGAAAGCAATATCAATTTGAGAGAAGGGAATGCATTTATCCAATTAAAGTTAGGCACATAAACCTGTTTATGGAAACTTAATTATTAAACAGATATTACTGGTTTTATAAGAATCATCTTAATACTCTCTCCATGAGAATACATTGACACTGTATGTGATGAGGACATCTACTTTTTATTTATTTTTAGTCGGACTTTATTTATGTTTTAGATTTTATTTATGTAATTGGGCTTGCGTTGGCCCGAGTCCATTCTACTTAGGGTTTTAATCTTTACTATTTAAACCTAATTGCGATGTAATTTCAGTAGTTTTGATGAATTGAAGAATATTTTGGTGGTTTGTTGCCTATCGCTTCTCCCTCCCCCTCTCCCCCATGAATTTCTGCTTCTTCTCCGGTTTCTCCCCACATTCTCTCCGGTTCTCCCCTCTTTCTTGCTTCTTCTTTCTAATTTTTTAATTCGTCCTGCATCAAATTTGGTATCAGAGTTAAATCTTGGGCATTTTTCTCTTAAAATTCAAAATTTTCTTCTTTCCCTTTTCCCAAAACTTGTTGAACAGCAGAAACGAAAAGGATTTGTTGGAAAATAGCAATTTTCTTTCCTAGTAAAAAAAAAAAAAAAAAAAAAAAAAAAAAAAAAAAAATGTATTGTTTGGAAAAAAAAAAAAAAAAAAAAAAAAAAATGTATTGTTCCCGAGTACTGTTAACTCGCGGAAAAAAAAATTAAAAAATCCGAGTTGTTATGTTACTGCTGCTGCTTCCCGCAAACCCTAATCCATACATACAATCAATTATTAATCCAAACAGTCCATTAGAACACCCAGTCAAATATTCTAGTCTCCAAATCATTTAACCCGTTACTCAGGCTCAATCTACATTCACATAATCATAAGTAGCCCAAGTCCTAGAGGCCATTATTCACGTCTCATATTCAACCCAATAAGGCCATTACATCAACCCAATCCCCAGCCCATTTATCACATATTTAGCCCAACCCAGCCTACTCTCTACAACCCAGGCCACTCCCCAAACACTAGCCCCAGCTGGCCCATCTCTATAACAGGATCCAAACCCCTTCTCATCTGGTCTAGTCCCAAATATCCGACCAAGCCTGATTATAATCAATCCATTAACATCAAATACCCCACAGTTTCACCCGATTCCTCTCTCACAACTACTCTCTTGCCGCCGTCACCTCTAATCACCATCACGCCACCACTTCATTATCTGCCCAAGCATCCAGAGCACTACCGCTTCTTCGCCATAGGCCGCCACCACCACCAACCCAAGATCATAGACTTCCACCAAAGTTACCACACTCATATATTTCCTCGTCCATCTCAACAATCTAAAAGCCACAGTCACTACACATAGTTTTACGTCCACACCAGAACCAGCACAAGTTACAGTCAACAGGGGCTAAAACCATTGGACACGAAGGGAAGAATAGAAGCATAGTTGGGGCTCATAAGTCGGCAATTTAAATCAATCGGCATACAAATAATCAAAACTAAACAACAGGGAGTCCTTGATCTCTATTTAGTATTGGTTTACACTACTGCTTCATTTTTAAAATTGCATCAATTAAAATCTTGTGTTACTGTTATCGTGATAATTTTAGCCTTAAACCCCATTTGATCGAAACTATTAATCGAATTGACACTAATGACCGAATTGACTTCCATTGTTCCGCACTTAAATTGATTGGAGAATTTGACTAGTGTGTTGACCCTTGCTTTGCCATTTTACATGTATCAGCAGTATTAACTTGTTTTGGATTTAATTAATCCCAATATTTAAAATTAAATAAAAAAAATTGGTACAAGTTATTTTCCATTGCTTGCACGTATTGTTCACCGATCTCGTCATAGCACATCATTTAGCTAGTATTACATTGCATGTAGTTGCGTAGTGGTCATCTTGTCGTTTCTATTTCCAATACATTGACCATGGATCCATCCCAATTTGATGCATTCACTAGACAATTAGCGCAACTTGCCACTAGCCTATCGACTGTCCAATCAGATATAACTGTTACTCATGAGGAGAGAAAGACCCTAGCTGCTAAGTTGAGCAATTTTAAGCAAACCCCTCATTTGACTAATACTAATTCTGAAGCGTCTTATAATAGACAATATCATCGTGGACAAAGTGATCAAGAATATTTTCGACGCGATCGTAGGAATAGGGATCATGTTCGTGAGCGAGAACAATGCCATGGTCATCATGGTACTCATTCTCTTCCTCGTCGTAAAGAGCATTTCTTTAGAGACATTGACTTAGATATTCCTACTTTCGATGGTCGCTTAGATCATGAAATTTTTACCCAATGGAACACCCTTCCACAAGAGAATCGGCTAGTAACTGAGTATATTACTCAATTTGAGAAATTTCGAGTGAAATGCCATGTCGTTGAGGATGAGGCCCTGACTTTAAGTAGGTTTATACAAGGTCTACGAGATGAACTTAGGCGTGAGCTTTTCTTTCGAGGCATCACTACTCTTGATCAAGCTTACTCTTCAGCTCGGGACTACGAGTTACTTATTAGTACTGCCTATGAAAAGCGTGATCACCATCGTTCACCCATCTGATTAGCGTCATCTCATCATAAGTCTATCATAGAGCCTTCCCAGTCTAGCGTTCCTTCCCTTTGGAAAAACAAGTGTAAAGGTCGTGATAGTCTAAGGTCGTCTTCTTCATGTAGAAAACGTAATGACAATCATCATTCGGTTTTATTGGCTCCACTTCCTTCTGTTAAGTCCCTTCTAGGACCTCCCCTGTCTAATGTTCCTCCAATTTCGGAAAATAAGAGTATAATTTTTGAAACTCCAAAGACTTCTCACTTGCTATGCATCAGCTGTAAGGTCTTTGGCCACATCTCTTCTAAATGTCCTAATCGAACCTTAGTCATAGAAGAACGAAAGAATGCAATAGAAGAGTCGGTAGAAGATCTAGCATATGACCCTAAACTTGAAGAGTAGATGATGAATTGAAGAATGTTTTGGTGGTTTGTTGCCTATGGCTTCTCCTTCCTCTCCCTCCCCCATGAATTTCTGCTTCTCTCCGGTTTCTCCCCTCATTCTCTCCGGTTCTCCCCTCTTTCTTGCTTCTTCTTTCAATTTTTTTAATTCGTTCTGCATCGGTATGACTTATAGTTTCCAAACGTTGAGCGAAGTGTAGGCAATAGGGGAATGTTTTAACCTATGATCAGAATATGGCAATCATAGGTGATCTTTGTTGTGGTTTTGTTAACATTGAAAGCTAATTTTTTAGTAAGCCTCACTTTTTGGAGCTTCTTCCAGCTTACACTAACGTAGAGGTTCTCAAAGTTCTCATTGAAAGCTGCAACGAATTGTAATTTCGCTGTTGACACAATTTGAGGGATAGTAAGATTTCAGATTTGTCCTCTCACTATCCTTGAAAATGTTTATTTCGAACTCTTGCTAACAGATAAAAGGTTGTGTATGTTGGATTTGCCTTTTTTTCCCTTCTTACAAATCATTCTTCCATGCTCTTCTTGATTGACTTTCTATACCATCTTTTTGTCCCATTCAAGTTCATGTGGAATCTTGCCTCCCTCAAAAAATTAAGGTGTTTATATGGCTTGTCTCTCATAAGTAAACTATACTAATCAATTGGTTCAAAAGAAAGTCCCTCCCTCTCTCTGCTCTGAATGGTAAGTTATATATTGAAAAAATTGGGACCTGTTGATTACTTGTTTGCACATTTTGATATGCCAATATGGCTATGGTATAGAATTCTCCAAGAATCTGGTTTTTAATTGGGTTACACTGAGTAAGTGCAATGGAGTACTCCTTGAAAAGCCAATTGGCTTTCGTAAGGGTAGAATTATTTTGGTTGCTGAAATTGATGGTTTCATTATCTTATGGGTGATTTTGACAAAGAAAAGATTTCAAGAACAACAATACCATTATGAATTTTACTGACAAAGAATTCTAAGTTGCCCCTTTTTATTTAATTAATCTTAGCTGGAGAGATATATTGTATTCTTGACTTGTTCAGTATTTAGATCTTAGAGAATTAACAATATGTTCCTTGTAAAAAAAAAAAATTTGATTATAAAATAAATATGAAAGAGGATTTCAGACTTCAAGTCAAATTGATATGTAAAACACTCTTACGGGTAGTGAACATATATATATATATATATATTTAATATTTTGCCAAGCTTCTGTACATCTTAGCGAAACATATCTTGGCATTAACACTTCTATTCTCTATCACAGCTCGACTCAAACAACTTTTTTCCTAAATTGTTCTCACGTGAACAGGGCCACAGGCACATGTAGATTAAGCAGCAATCTTTTACTGGGAAAATTACACATTATAGTGTTGGTATTATTTGAAGACCGGATGAAAAAATTCTCGATTCTACTTTTCTCAATAATTTTTACAATGTAAAGGTTCTATATATAATACAATAGAGTGGAAGTGAAAAGGAATGTAATCTCCTATCCAAAGAAAGAAAAAATTATTTCATAACTAATTTACAATTATACCATATAAAGAAACAATTATTCGATAATAATCCCATACTAATTTTGGGATTTCTACACTCCCCTCAAGTTGGATCATAGATATTGACCATATCCAATTTATAGATAAAATCATCGAAATTTTGTATGTGTAGTCCTTTGATGAATATAACTGCCGTTTGTTCTTTGGTAGGGATATAAGTCATGCAAATAGTTCTACCTTCGACTTTATCCATAATAAAGTGTCTGTACAACTCTACATGTTTAGTTCGATTATGTTGTATTAATCTGAGTGAGATGTTGATAACTACTTTCTTATCGCAATAGAATATAACTGGAAATTTTGTTGTGACTTGTAGTTCTTCCAAGAGTTCCTTTAATCACGGTCCTTCACATATTCCTTGAGCTAGTGCTGTGAACTCCGCTTTAGCATTGCTTCTTGCTACTACATTCTGTTTCTTACTTCTCTAGGTTACCAAGTTTCTCCATACGAATGTACAATAGCCAGTAGATCTCGTATCTTCTATCGCTCCTGCCCAATCAACATCTGTGAATATTTCTGTCCTTTTCTTTTTTCTTAAACCATAGTCCTTTCCCAGGTGAGCCTTTGAGGTACCTTAAAATCCTGTATACTGCTTCTAGATGAGTATCCTTTGAAGAATGCATATGTTAACTTGCCACACTAACCGCAAATGCAATGTCAAGTCTAGCATGTGATAAGTAGATTAGTTTTCCAACTAGTCGTGGATATCTGTCCTTTTTTACGGGTTCTCCCATGTCTGTTTTCCTTCCAGTATCCATACGAGTGTCACTTGATTTACACCCAAGCATGCCGATTTCGACTAGCATATCCAGAATATATTTTCGTTGTGAAATACTAATAACCTTCTTTGATCTGGCTACCTCCATTCCTAGAAAATACCGCATTTGTCCTAGATCTTTTACTTCAAAATCGGTGGCTAGACTCTTTTTTAGCCTCTCAATCTCAGCTATGTTCTCCAACGAGGACTATGTCGTCAACATATACAATCAGATTGGTCTCTGTCTCATCTTTAAATATTTTAAAGAACATAGTGTGATCTGACTGCCATTGTCGATATCCTTGACTTTTCAATACAATTGAAAATTTATCAAACCACTCTCTCGATGATTGTTTGATGCCATACAAAGACTTTTAGTTTGTCGACCCTGTTTTCTTCATTTTTCTTACCGAAACCAGGTGGTAGAATCATGTAGACTTCTTCTCCCAACTCCCCATTCAGGAATGCATTCTTAATATCAAATTGTTGTAGTGGCCAATCCAAGTTTGCTACTAGTGATAGGACCCGAATTGTATTCAATTTTGCCACAAATACGAATATTTCTGTGTAGTCTATGTCATAGGCTTAAGCATATCCCTTTGCGACCAGGCAAGCTTCGTACCGTTTTATTGTCCCATCTGCTTTATATTTCACATTACACACTCATTTGCAACCAACCGGTCTCTTACCTTTTGGTAGCTCCACTGCATCCCAAGTTCCATTTATCTCCGGTGCTCTTATTTCTTCCATTACTGCTTCCTTCCACTTGGGAGTTTCCAATGCTTCTTCGATATTTCTAGAAATTTTTATATTATCAAGGTTAGAGACAAAAGTTCGAAATCTCGGGGATAAAGTCTTGGAGGCTATGAATTTTGAGATAGGATGAAAAGTGCAAGACCGTGTTTGTTTTCTTAGAGCAATAGGTAAATTACCATCAAATGATTTGGGAGAGAGATCATGGAGATCTGAAGCTATCATCGGTTCTGACTCTTTTGGTGCTTCGAGTGTGAGGTCTTCCTTATACCTTGATTTTGGTTTTCCTGAGTAAACTATCATCTCTTTGTCGAGACGTTCTTTCTTATCTCCCCCGAGTTCAAGTTAACTTCTATAGATGGCATTTTAGAACATGTTGGTGTTGTAGGTTCAAGATTTGGTATAGATTTAGATTCAGAGGGATTAAAATAGATTTCAAAAAATCGATCTTCACCTATGTTCTCCCTTTGAAAAGAGGTTTTTTGAAAGAAAGGTTTTGTTTCGAAAAAAGTGACATCACGGCTAACAATTACCATTTTCGTGATTGGATCTTAGCATTTATACTCCTTTTGTGTCGATAAGTACCCAATGAATACACATTTGAGTGCATGGGGTTCGAGCTTAGTTTGATGATGGGAATGGATGTAAACAAAGACTGTACAGCTAAACCCTCTTAAGGGTAAATATGAGTTGATACGAGAGTTAGGAAAGAATTTTTGGAAAGGGGTTTCAAATCTGAGGGTGCGACTAGGCATTTTGTTTATAAGGTAGGCTGCTGTTAGAATGGCATCACCCCAGAAGGCATTGTGCATATTGGAAGTAAACATCAGTGCCCAAGCTACCTCAAAGATGTGTCTATTTTTTCGTTCAGCAACTCCATTTTATTGGTGAATATCAACGCATGAGCTTTAGTGGATTATCCCATTGTCTAAAATGTAGTTTTTCAAACTATGATTGAAATATTCTATGACAAAATCCGTGTGTAAAATCTGAATTTTTGTCTAAAATTGAATTTGCACCATTGAATGAAAATTTACGAATGCTGATCGGACATTACTTTTTTCTTTCAGCATATAGACCCAACAGATTCGAGTATGACCGTTAATAAATCTAATGAACCATTTAGTATGGGTGTGATTGGGGATTCGTGAAGGTCCCCATAGGTCACTGTGAATTATAGGGCTGGACATGATCCGGTTCGGTTCGATTCGGTTCTAACGAGAATCGAACCGACCCGAAATTTTCGGGTATTTAGCAAGTGGAATTGTCGGGTCCAAATTTAATTATAGAACTGTTCGGGTTCGGTTCCATTCGGTTCGGTCCGGTTCAATTCCATTCGGTTCCGTATTATAATTAAATTTTTCAATATATACAAAGTTACGTTAATTTAATTAATGATATATTTAATATTAGCTCTTACAACATAACGTAGTTCAATTTTATGTGTTTCACGTCTCTCTTTGCTGAATTCTTCATAAATTTGATTATTAAAATTACAGAAAAAGAAAGATAGCGAGCTCAAAATAATTAAGAGAGATGTTGTAGAACTTTAATTCCATTTTCTCTGGTAGAAATGACACTACAGTAGAATAACAAATTTGGATAAAATTGAGGTCAATTTGATTAAGTCGATTTTGAACTGAATATTAGAAATAGGAAAATCATATTTTGTGGTTTGAACTAAATTAACTAGTTAATAAATTTATTTAGAAAAAATAAAATAATTTTACTTACCTAAAATAAATTAATTTAAAAAATTACGGAGATTCGGTTCTTATTCAGTTTTTCGGGTCTTCGCCTAGAACCGAGAACTGAACCATACTCGTCGGTTCTTGATTCAAATACCCGTTCGGGTATTTAATTTGAGAAGAACCGTCGGGTTCGGTTCTGTTCGTTTTGGGTTCGGTTCGGGAGTTTTGTCCAGCCCTAGTGAATTATTTTAAAGGGTTCAGATGGAAATATGAGGACCTTGGGAATGATGAATGATGATGTTTTGTGAGTTAACAAACTTCACATTAAGATCAATAGATATTTTATTTGAGAATATTGAACGCAATATATATCTCATATATTGAAAGTTGGGATGTATCCATGTAATTTTCGATGACATCTCTTTCTCCTTGCCTTGCTTGCCACAACTTCGTCTTAGAGTACATCTCCTGGACAGCTTCCCAAATGTCTTTTGCGATGGGCATAAAGAGATAAATCTTGCCAATTTTGGGCCTCATCAAGTTTACAAGCCACGCCATCACCATGGAATTTTCAAATTTCCGTCATTTCTGAAGATTCACGTTGACGGGCTACTTCGTTTCTCCGGCAAGATAACCAAGCTTTCCTTTCTTGTCAACCACCAATTTAATGGACTGAGCCCACTCCCTGTAATTCCTTTTGTTGAGTTTTTCCACTGTGAGTTGGAAAGACGAATTATCAATTCCAACTGAGCTCATGGTGGGAGCAATTTCGATCTCACTTGTTACATACTCAGATGTGGCCGAGTCTTTGCTATCTCTAGTTTTTTCTGCCATTGATGACTGAGCTTAATTTGACTCCGGCTCTGATACCATGAAGACCAAATGAGAATTCTCAATTCTAATTTTCCCAAAAATTCTTACAATATAAAGGTTCAATATATAATACAATAGAGTGGAAGAGAAAATGAATGTAATCTCCTATCTAAAGAAAGAAAAAATTATTTCCTAACTAATTTACAATTATACCATATAAGGAAAATAAAATCATTCTATAATAATCCCATACTAATTTCGGGATTTCTACATTATCTTATGAAAACAAATATGGGCATTTCTAGGTCACCCATCACACAATACAATAATCAAGATATAAAAGAATTCCAGCACAATAGAAACAGGAAACCATGATTTGACCAGAAAAGACAGTGTAGCACATAAGCCATCAATCCTTCAATGTTTTTTAGCTTCTTTATTAATCAATTTATAATGGAATTCTAGCACAAAAGAAACAGGAAACCCAAATTTGATCAAAAAGACAGTGTAGCACTTAAGTCATCAATCCTTCAATATTTTGTACTTCTATTAATTCCAAAATACAAGGAAAATGAGGAAAGTATAATGTGCTTACTGGATGCCATTCTTTTGTGACTGGATCTGGGCGATCCCTTCCACCACTTGGTGCAATCCATATAATTTTCGATCCACCCCTAATCCCAAGAAAGTAGAGTCATCAAGCTACCGAATACCACCATCAAAAAATAGAAAAGTATTGATGAATAGGCTAAGAATTCACTGGAGTTTGATGGTCAGGACAACCTGAAAACTTCCTAGTGGCATTTTCATAAAATTTAACAGGGTGCCAATATAATCTGTCCCCTTATTAGCAATACTCTTGGAATGTTTACCAACACATGACCACAATGTTTCCATCTGACTGAGAAATTAACAAGGTCCAGTGGACCATCTAATAGATGGGGAAAGTTCCTTCAGCAAATGAAAATCACAAGAGGCAGGAAATTTAGATTTTAAATGGCAGCTAAGGTCACAGTATTCAAAATCAAACCACTTAAAATCAATTCAACTTACTACATTATTGATTTAAACCAATACGATCAATAGAGCAGAAGGTCAGAGCAAATCTTATTATTTCAGACCTCTAGACTTAAACTGTTAAAATTCATTATTTGTTAAACCTATATTCTACTCTCAGGAATGTTTGCATCGCAGGCCCATATTCATAAACTCAGCGACCTAAATTTGCTGCTTCTTTTTTCAATGCTTATTATTTAGCCCCTATCTGGTTTAGCTAAAAAACATATTTTTAGTATATTTTGATAAATAAAATGATGAAATGTGGGATTGAAAAGTTCGATACAAATTGTGAATCCTATGAAATCTGTTGTTGAAAACGAATTTGAGAAAAAATGAGTTTTAAAAAAATGGGGGCCAAAAAGGGCTTAGTTTTTGTCTCTTAAGCATTCTAAACATACCAATATTATGATTTTCCTCCAGTTCCCTTAAGATACTTCCAATCGTGGTTCCGTACTTTTGGTCTTGAAGCAATTATCAAATCAAAAGACTATTTCTTTCAAAAGACTCACATTCAAGTAGCTCTCCACAGATTGTTTCAGCCGGGTTGCAAAGTATTCGATTTTAGGAACTTTGAAGTTCAATTTAAACATTTCTCAAGCTCAATAACTTTGTTTTGCATTTTTATCTTTTCTTTACAGTGTGGAAACCTAAATTATTAGAATTGTCGAATTTGGTTGCCTCTAGCCCATCATTCAAAAGCTCCCAAGGTTTATGCTTTGAGGCGTGCCTGTTACGAGGCATTCCATTGCCTCAGAGCTTTTGCTTTGATTGCCATTTATATATATTAACTTACTAAGGCACACACCTTAGAGCGCCAAGTTCTGTGCTTCTTAGTCTTGCCTTACCCCGACCTCCATTTCTTGAGCTGGTTTTTTCATAGCCTAGAAGGTTTATGGGTTTATTAGTTGTTTTAAACAAGACCCAATTCTAAAAGCTAGAAACAAGGATCTATACATTAGAAAAGAGAACAAGTGAAAAGTTAGGCAGGCTCATTACATTACCCTATCCCCACATGTAAAGTTGCGACTTTTCAGCAAATAGGCTGCTGATTGCAACAGGGTCTTCTTTTATATTCTTCTTCTTCTTCTTCTTGTTTTTGCTTTTGTTTTTGTTTTTGTTTTCGTTTTCGTTTTCGTTTTTCTTTATTTATGGGTTCTCTCTTCATTTCAAGTCAAAACAAGCAAACTTCTAACTAGCTGATTAGTTGTTTCATTGTCTAAACTTTCAGTTTTAATAGTGGATTAGCTGCCTTGTTATGTGGTTACTACTTCGATGATATATTATTTACTACATCGTTTGATTTTTTGTTTTCAGTTGTAAATTAAACTTCAATGTTGTTGAAATGTTTTATTTTAGAATTTTTAGATTGTACATGCATGATCTTTACTTACTAAGTATTAGCTTATGTAGTTCTTGCATTATAAGTGAGCATAGACCTTCATAGAAGTCCTGGCTAGCTGTAAAGCTCTTAACCGGATTCCAGAGTTTGATGTACATGGATTAATACCTGTAAGGTTATTTTGTGGACTTCAGCTGTATATATTTTTGGAATCCTGTATTGTATATATATACCTTTTGAAATGGCCTCTTGATACTTTTATAACCCTTGTTTGAGCCCCATTCTTTTCAAAAATTCATTTTTTCAAAACTCATTTGAACAACACATTCTCCAATAAAATAATTCTATACGTAAATCTAAAACTTTTTCTTACTTTCTAACAACACAATCTCCAAACAATTACTATTCAAAAAATACATTTTCTCTTCAAAATGAGACTCAAACAAGGGCATAGTCTTAAAATATATATGTGGGACTATGGTTATATGATCTTTAGTTTCGATATACCATATGAACATCATAGGTGATCAAAAGTGAATATACAGGGATATACTCATGATGATGCTTATTTCATGTTATCAAGTGGAAAAAGAAATAATATGCAAAATTCTATGTCTAGATCAAGCCATCAATTTCATTCTCACATAGGTTAATATATGATTATCTATATAAAGGTGGGTGTGACAGAGAGTGGTAAGAGATCATTGGATTTTGTATCTATCTAACTAGCTAACGGAAATTAGGACAAGTTAACGAAGTTGGAGAAAGTCATTCTCTTTCTACAAAATAACACTGCTTTTTAGTTTAAGAATAGAAAAACTTCTAAGTTAGCCGTGTCAAATGAAATAATGAACAGTTGGTCTCAATAGTGATTATTATTCTTGTCTTCGGTTTTCAAAAATTCCAAAATATCAACAGTTCAGCTCATTTGTGAAGCATCATCAGCATTTTTGCCCTAAACAACAAAGATTTAGTTCATTACACACGAAAAAGAATCAATTAAGACCAATCCTTGGAAAACCTATTCAATGTGATGCCCAATTCATGCTTCATTAGAGGAAGCCTTTGATTGTCAATTTAACCCCTGTTTGGCCCCCATTACGGGGAAAATTTAATGTATAGAATAGTGTTTTTTGAAAAATGAGTGGTTGAAAAAGAAAGAAAAATTTTCGATTTACGTGTAATATTATTTTATGGAAGATTGTGTGGTTGAAAATAGGAGAGAGAAAAATAGAATGTAATGTAATGTAATGTAATGAAAATCAAACAAAGGCTTAATCTCAATTAAAAACTTTCCAGTCTACCCTATCATGTTAATACCACCACTGCATAGATTGCGACTTAGCAAAAAACTTTCAAACAATTGGAGAATATGTCTATCTAGGAAATCAATTTCTTTAAAACCAGAGCTTCTAATGCAGAGTAGCAAGTATGGCCTTCAAGGAAGCTGAAAACATCTCAATTATAGCCTGGAAATTTTCCAAGTTCTTACAGATAAACAAAAATAATTCAGGAATAGGAAATTTACCTCAAAAGAAGGGCCATTTCCTTCAAGCTTTTTGTATTAGCCCTTTTTTTCATATCAACAAGCTCAGGGTCATCATTCATGTGTTTCTTGGAATAAACACACAAAAGATTCCTAACCAATTGAAAGTCCAATATGGTTAAAGACATGGTAACAGATGCACATATCGTAACAGCAAATTTCAAGAACACAAAAAGATAAGCACCTTCCCATACTAAATGGTTTGCAAAGAGGATCTGTAACAACCCTATCTCCTGCCACATAGATCTGCATCACTTGATAAACATTTAGCAAACCTATAAATGCCTAAATGCAACTCAGCATCATGATGGTATTTTCAGTTCAAGGAACAACATTGTTACCAAATTCTCAGCGATGTGTGGACACGTGGATTCAAGCAACAGAGCAATAACAGCTGGGTCCGCTTCACTTTGGTGGTTGGATATTAATATAATATTCTCACCCTGAATTTAGGTACAGTGCTTATCAGAAACGGATGAAAGCTTACAACAGATGAGCAAGCAAAATAATCCAACAGTCAACAGTCATGACCAACGAAGGTGGAGACACGAAAACACTAGTTCATAGTAGCAATTTATGACAGCAACTCCCGTCAATAAGGTGGGCAGTACATTATCATCCTCTTTTTGTTTATGTACACACATATTTTAGTATTAAACAGAGAAGCTAAGGGGTAATTTACTATCAACATCTAGAAACATTAACCAATATGCCTCGGCGATGACGAAAGTAAAATTTTCTTTTCTTTTCTCTTTTATAGTATTCAAACTCCTTCTGGCATCATTAAGAATATTTTCATGGATCTCACAATGGTTTGGAATTCAACTTCGTTGGTAGATACAGAATTTCCGTGCCAGTTTCTTATGCAAATTTCATGCTAGAATTGCACAAGTTTTATCATGTAGTTGAAGGCCTCCATAGGACTAGTTTTCATGAGAATCAACCAAGTTTAAATTTGCCTTCCCCAGAATTTATGTTAAACATTTTAAATCAAACTGCAAAGCTTAAGCACCCATCAACCTAGTTCTAGGTTTTTCTAATTGACATTTTGTTGATTTGCGGGTATTTCAGATGGACGGCGGTTATACCATCCCATGGTAGATTGGCGAATTATTGGGCCGAGCTAGATTTGAACCAGCGTAGACATATCGACAATGAATTTACAGTCCGTCCCCAATAACTGCTCGAGCAAAATTTCTCCGTTCTTATTGATTTGAGTTGAGTCATGGAGCTCTATATATTTCATAGGCAACCAACCCTTGTTAGTTATTATAGTCTTCTTTCATTTATATTAAGGAGCAACCTATGTAAAGATTGTAAGTATCCTCGTCTCTCTTGAGTACTCTGCTCTCTACTAAGGGCAATCAACGTATGATTTCTTCACCGCTTGGGTTTGACACTTATACAACGATTTGATGATGTCAATGTTGGTGATGTAGAGTTAATTGAGAAACTCAGAATCTATAAAAGTTGAATAAACTAGCAGAAGCAGTAGAATACACACAGTAAAGAAACAACTAGGGGAGAAGAAGATGAAGAAGAGAAGGGCTCGAGAAGAGAAGAAAGCGTGGTGGAAAAGGAGAAAACTTCTGCAACACTTCAATTCATTTCCATCAAATTTGTCCCTTCCCATGCAAAAGGCTGTCTACATATATAATATACAACTACTCAAAAAAAAAAAAAAAAAAAAAAAAAAAAAAAAAAAAAAAAAAAAGAGGGCTTGGGCAGCCCAAAACAATTATACAAGCCCAAAACAAAATAAAAGGCTTGGACCAATACCAAAACATAATACAAGCCCAAAGGAAAATAATAACCCAGTTACAAAATATACTACGAGCCCAAGGTAAAATACTAAGCTAGTCCAATGCTGAGTAGATGTCCTCGTCAACTCTCCCAGGATGGAAGAAAACTTGACTCTGTCGAGTGAATAGCTGCAGTCAGTCGCCCAACCATAAGCTGAGTGGTTGGACAAACCTCTTCCAACGTTCATATACACGTGTGATAGGTGGTCTAGGCAATGGAAGATCATGTTGACTCCTATAAAGCTCCAACAAGTAGGGATCAAGCTACTGGAGTGTCTCTCTAGGAATCCATGTACAATCAGAGTCAAGTCGGCCCACCAAACGAACAAGAAAGCACTGAATTTCTCCATCGTTGGTCAACATAATCTGTTCATCTACAATAACATCAATTTTATCTTTGGGTATTATAACAAAGAGTGTGGAAGTAGGGGTAGCAATAGGTTCAGGTTGAGTGTCAACAGACGAGGGTAGAAAAGGGTCGCTGGAGGGCTTAAAATGGCCTTTATAAGCAACTAAATCCTTAACATTGAAAGTAGAGTAGTAGCCAAATGTGATTGAAGATCAATGACATACGTATTTAGACCAGCACGCTTTAAGATTTTAAAAGAACCAATGCTACAGGCTCGCAATTTGGAAGCTGATCCAGACGGACGCCGTTCAGGTCTAATTCGGATTATCACATAATTTCAAAGATAATTCAACATATCGTTTATGCAAATCAGCTCGAAGTTTATATGATGTATTATTTGCCTCCAATTGTTTATTGATCTCGATATGCAAGTCATAAAGATGTTGTACAAATGCCTCAGCTGACACAGACACATTAGCACGTGGGGACAGGTATAAGGTCTAAAGGCTTCTCGGGCTTATAACCATGAACAACTTCAAAAAAACTCATGCCTAAAGACCGATCCTCAGAACTATTATATACAATTTTTGCTATAGGGAGGATTAAATCCAAGTTCATCAGATTTTCCTGAACTAGACACCTTAATAGGTTACCACGACTGCGATTAACAACTTTGAGAATGATATGCAGTGGAAAATTTCAACTTAGTGCCAACCATGTGCCATAAGGTTCTCCAGAAGTGGCTAGTGAACCGAACATCCCTATCCGACACAATGGTCTTAGGAAGGCCATATAACTTGACAATCTCATTAAAGTACAGTCTAGCAACCTTAGACGCATCTGAAATCTTGCTGCAAGGGATAAAGTGGGCTATTTTCGAGAAACGATCCAGTATAACAAAAATAGTCATATTTCTTTGGAGTACGTGGGAGTCCTAATACAAAATCCATACTGACGCCTTGCCAAAAACAACTAGAGATGGGAAGAGGTGTGTAAAGACAGCGCCATTTTTTTTTCTTTTTTTTTTTTAAACTTAAAAAAAAATCAAATAAGCAAACTAGTTACAAATCAAGGTCCAAACACTAATAGAGACCCAAAACATACACTACCATACATTACACATGGCCCAACATTGACACACTACCTAACTAACATATGGCTCAATATTAATACACTACCTACCTAACACCAAGGCCCAAATAAAATCAAAGGCAAAGACGCACGCAAGGGAAAATGAAGGCTGTGGCGGTGGAAGTCAATGGTGTGTGTGACAGGCGACGGGGCTGGGAGCATGACAAGCGGTCGGCATCCATGGGTGTCACGATCGGAGGCAACAGTCGTGGGTGGGTACTCCAGGTTCAGAAAGGCGATGTGTCAATTTCTGGTCGCAGTAATATTGGGTGGGTTTGTTCAATTTCTGGTTGCTGTGATTTCAGGTTAGAGAGTTGGTAATTGGGTCGGTTTGTTAGTAGACTAGTGGCAGTTTTGCAGTAGGATATGGTGGTTGTGATTATAAGGCAGGTCGTGTATATGGAGTGAACTGGTGCGAACTGGGAGTTGTGTGTATGTAGTAGATAGATGACCGTCTGCATTATGGGGGATAGTGTTCGCGAATTTACAATGGCTAGCGGTTGTGATTGAATTTGGACAGTGGCTGTGGCGTGAGCTACTGAGGTTGGCTATAGAACTTTGGTGGTGACTGTATGGGTTGGTTTGATCTCTGATTAATATATAGCTTGTGTATTATAGGCTGAGTGTTGTGTTGTTGTAGAGGAATTGAACAAAAAGATTAAGGTTGTAGCCATTCTTTGAAGCGGTGGTGGCAGGAGAGTAAATCGATTGGTTTTGCAGCAATGGATGAAGGAAGCCAGGTTTAGCTCTAATACCAAGTTGATGTAGAATTAATTGAGAAATTCAGAACCTATAAAAGTTGAATAAACGAGCAGAAGCAGCAGAAGACACACAGTAAAGAAGCAACTAGGGGAGGAGAAGAAGAAGAGAAGGGGGAGTGAAGAGAAGAAAGGGCGGTGGAAAAGGAGAAAACTTCTGCAACACTAAAATTTATTTCCATCAAATCTGTCCCTTCCCATGCAAAAGGCTGTCTACATATATAATATACAACTACTCAAAAAGAAAAAGGGCTTGGACAGCCCAAAACAATTATACAAGCCCAAAGCAAAATAAAAGGCTTGAGCCAATACCAAAACATGATACAAGCCCAAAGCAAAATACTAACTAGCCCAGTTACAAAATATACTACGAGCCCAAGGTAAAATACTAAGCTAGTCCAATACTGAGTAGATGTCCTCATCAATTAGATAAGCTCATTTTTCCTAGGAATGAATTGATGAGTGCTGCAGTGGCATACTTAGGCCTAGATTCATATTTAACCTCTCCGTAAAAAGGAAAATGATAGTTGCTCAGAGCCAATTCATAATGCCCACAAATAATCCATATGAACTGAAATATGCTTATGTATCCTTTTTATGCTAAAAGTTTTACAGATTATGGAGGGTACTTTGTAATGGAACTTTTCAACGTAAGACCATCACGATAGAAATTATCTTCTTACTACAACGATTACAATGTAGAACAATCCTATTATAAATAGGATAGAAGTTAGTTACTATTAGAGTAGGATTTTTGTTTCCTTTTAAATTAGGAGTTTGTACCCTTTCAGTAATGTTGTTTAGTTTTCTTATATGGGTAAAATCAGGACATTATTTTGCATATATAAACAAAGGCTTTGTACCCTTTTAAATCATCAATTCAGTATAACAAAATTATTCTCTACAATTTTTTGAGTTTTCCAACTTTCTTCTTGTTTTAAGAATTTAAATTCTGCTTCTAACCATACAAAGTTCCTTTTCATAGAGGAGCAGTGACTTACTAATGGAAATCATACAAAATAAAGCATAACATTGGGAAAGAGCTCATCCAAGTTGTACTTTAGTTCATTTAAGTTTGTTTGAATAAGGAGTTTAACTATCTGCGAACACCATTCAATTGATCCTTTAAGAACCAATGTGGCCAGAATTCACAAAAATATTCAAAAGGTGTCATTCCTTTTTTTTTTTTAATTGGAGCACCCAGAAAACCTTTTTTTTTAATTGGAGCACCCAGAAAACTTAAACATAGAAGGAATATTTCTTAACAAAACAAAATATCATATAGAGAGAGGAGGGGATGAAAGCACACTAGAACAAAAAAAGAAACAGAAGATAGGTAAGAGAGCAAGAAAACAAGATGGAGAAGTATAATAAGAATAGGACAATATATTGGTAATACCGGAGGCTGGGCACTGTAATACTTGATGTCAAACAATTAGAGTAAGCACCACAATGATTGATTTCACAAATATTGATGGTGTAATCTATACAGAAGAATAATGAGAAAAATAATCAATGCTATTTGTAAGGTTCCGTTACTTTGGCAGAACACAAGGACTAAAAGAGAAGGATGTAGAGACAGTTGGAAAGAGAATCAATATTATTCATAATGTAGGGATGTAAAAGTTCACTAAATTATTATTCTGCCTTCATGAGGATTCCATAAGCACTGGCTAACAGAAGTTCACTATATTATCTGTGCTTGTTTGAGTGAAGGATAAACCCCACGAAGAACAACATGTCAACAATAAGAGATCTATATGAAGAAATGCTGTCAGTAATAATACAAGCATGACAAAAATGAGATAAGAAACAATGATTGACAGAAGCAATAAAATTGTGCACCTGCTGAAGCTTCTTTTCCATTTCATTGAAAATTGAGATGTTTCCGACATATGAATTTCTGAAAAGTAACGAGTTAATTAAGTTTAGCAGAGATTTAAGATGCACGCAAGGTAGTATTGCATCCCTACAAGCTGAACTACTAGAAGGACAATAGGCTATATTTATGAATGTATATTGAACATACTCTATTCATTCCAAAGTTTTAAGATTACAAGAGAAGGCAAGCCTTCAACCACGGAAGAGAAAAGCTCACTTTTCTTGTTTTTCGAATCACTTGAGATGTGATATGACCCCATGATAGCTTCTTAGACCAGGCAGTCACAACAAAGGATAATTTCCAGATGGACAATGAATTAACTATTAAGTTCACCATAAAGGAAAGACCAGCGATCTAGCCATTAGTAACCCTTTTCAACAGGACAATCATTCCCCTTACTCCTGGGCACCCAATCCAGGCAAAAGAAGTAAAAGAGAAGAATAAAAAGGAACAATAACACCACCTAATTATTTGGTATTTGCTTATTCATTGTTCAATCAATATATGGCCTGCATAATTTTCGCCTTTCCTCAGCAATTATCAACATACCAAATAGCCATCTCTATCAAGCAATATTACTAAAAAATCCAATAAGCAATATGCTAGTATTACACTTGTGTACACAAAAATCCTCCTACAGAGGACTATCCGAGCCCAACAAGTATCAGAAACAAAACACTGGACACATGTCCTATTTTCTTATACAAGTTATTTAAATTTTTAGACACCCTTGGACATGTTTTGACATGCCATATATCATATCCTAATATTTTTATATTTTTCTAATTTTTAACACGACATGGAAAAGCCAAACCTTGTAAATTTTCAAACTACAATAATAATAAATAATGTGAGAAAATTTGTACAAAGTCATGTTGTGAGAAAAGTTGATCAAACTCATGTTTTAATTTGTTTTGTACCAACTAACTGCACTTTTTGTTAAGAGTATTTTTATTTTATTGCCACCAACGACAACCCAAAATTATCTTGATACAACAAATTGGCACTTTTCAAACTCAAAATATATCACATGCAATATATAAGATCAAAACTGAATAATTGAGCATTTGAAAAATACAAAGTAATTCAATAGTATATTTTGACTTGTCCACGTAAGCCTTTAACAAACTAAAGTCCTAAAGAACTCCAGATCCTCCCAAGCTGAGGTCAAAAATCTTTTGTTCGTGACCGTATCCATGCTCTTCTAGGTCAAATCATCTATCTGTAGTCCAAACAGTCAGCAAAGTAAATTTTGATTAACACTGGCAGAGAAGATGTAAATTGGAAATTATCTAATTTTTCAACTAATCAATCTATTTCCCAGCAAGTCAATGATACCTTTTCTTTGCATAAACCCAGTTAATAATATATTTTATTCCTTCATTTTGTTATAATTAGGGATAAGGACTTCGTATGGTGTTAGCCAATGTTATATGGAATCATGATCCAATCAAGTTTGGGTATTCATGATGAGCCAGAAAATGTTATTTAAAGTTAAGAAAATTGGAATATTGCTCAAGTATATTGGCATAAAGGTTAGCAAAAACTGTGTAGGCTAATAAGTTTTAAAAAATCACAGAATACAGTACTCAGAAAACATGGAAAGAACAACGTAAATTCTTTTTACACCATGAAAAACTTAGACTGCAATTCTACATCAAAATATTATAATATTTCGAATCTAAATCATTGAGAAATAATTAATCGCAATTTTAGATGACCAGGAACAACAATCAAATTAAATTCCGGAGATCCATTCCAATCACGACTCCCAGATCAAGGAAATCAAGGTATGTGCAACAGGGCAAATGGCCAAGTCCATGTAAAGCCATTTTTTGAGTCTTTCGTTCACATTCTGTCCTACGTTGAGCAAAGATTTCATACCATCCACAATAATTCTAGTGTTAAGACCAAACTAATTCTTGTAAGTTATCTCAAAACTGATGCTGAAAACATTAAAGATTGGATTTGGTAGAGCCACTTATACATAATCAAAAAGTAATCTGAATTTTGCGGGCTCTCTCTTATTAGCAAGTCTCAGTAACCTACTAATAAATGGAGAGTAACAATAGGGGTTGAAATGAATTATTGGTGACAGAGTTCAACCACGATCCAGCCTGAAGGAAATCAAACCACAGTAACACGAGTAACCTTCCATTAAATTCCTTCCTGGAACACTCTACTAATCTCAATGTCTTTGAACTACAAGATCTGAACATATGTTTGTGCCGTACCGCAAATGTGTGCTGCCAGAGGCCCAGAGCAATAGTCAAGTCTGTGTAGAACAGGTATTCTGGACCATATCCTCAACCTTCATTCACCTATTTTACAAAGATTAACCTCTAGAATAATTTTGGCAGTGGAAGGAAGGCAAATTCTGTTGAGTCCATGCGCAGTTGATGTTGAACTAATCCAATATGGCATTTGGCAAGAGCTGCTTACATGCGGATTTAGCATCTGTTTGATGGGTAAAATACCCCCAACCAAAAATATCTCTAGGCTGATACCCTTGGTAGGTTGATTTTGGGAAAAGCACTCAGGGGTAAAATAGTAAAACACCCTTCCAATTCCGGGCAAAATTGGAAAGCAGGAATTGGGGTTCTCAGAGCATGTCAAGGGAATATATTGGGATTTCTATTTTGCATAATATTTAATTAGATTTCCCCAAATTCAAAATATCACAATCTGCTAAAAGTCTAATTTTAATCTAGATCAAACATGCACTAAGAATTTGACCAGCGCAGTCTGACTACCGACTAGCTTGCTACTCAAAACAAAATAATTTTCAGGAAGACACATAAACATGCCGTAGGTGACTGACCTGAAATCAATCAATGGACGGATATAATTTTGACCGAACATGAAGTAGTCAAAAGGTTCTCGAATGGCTTCATGATGGGGTGAGAATTCAAAAGGATCCTGAAAAGTGAACATGACATAAAAATAGCTGAGAGCATGATGAAATTTGACAACCAACACACTCAACTAATTAATACAACACTGAGAGTGGAGCAACTACCCGCACATCCAGTAAAATACGATCTAATGCAATAGCCATATTAGACAAAACAATCTCCTCGGCTTGGGGCTGTCCACTTTGGAAAACCTGAATGTTGGAGAGTATAATAAAAAAATTACACACAATTCAGACATCTTAGAATGCAAACAGAAAACTTGTAATCCAGCAAGCTGAGATCAGAATATTTGAGAGCAGAAAGTATGCCATGTGAATATTCTCCTACATACACATTGGAAGGACAAATATTGAGGCTAGATTTCAGATTTTAGCGGCTGCTCAAAATATCAGAAAATAGATGGGTTTTATGGTGTTTGAGATATGTCTTGGAAGCAAAAGAGGCTTGAAAATAGAGCAACAGAGAAAATTCTGAAGGCCAACGAGCAGTTCCATGATCAATAATTTGTAATCATAAAATGGGATTTCTTTCTCTTTTACATATTTTATCAAGCAAAAGGTCACTTGCATTTCATTTTTATAATTAAGTGTTAGGGAGCAATAAAACCCACCATATTCAGCACTTGCTTTATGCAACATGTTAGAAATTCAAGTATAGCCAACAGTAACATGCAAGAATGCATAATGCGCTCAATCCACTTTTTTACGTTGGCTAGGTAGGATATTGAACTCATATGTAAACATGTGAGCCAAAGTTTTGCAAAGATATGAAACCCACATCGTGGAAGTGTAAAGACAGATCCAAATGTTGCAAACTTCAACGAGTTAATCGAAATTTCTAGACCATTCTTCTCTTGTTACACAAGTCTACACTTTTTAGATCAATATAAATGCCTAGAAAGTCATCTTTCAAGCAATTAGCATCAGAAAAACTGGAATGTTCAAATGAATTAGGCAATTGATGAATCAAGGAATTCTTGCCTTATTGGCAATAGTCAAATTACGTTTTAGAGTGATGAGAATGACATAGCATAGTGTAGCAGATATACAACTCAGTTTTCAATCATAGGAAAACTTAAATTAACAATTCATTCAAGTAAGGATAACTTGTGAGTTTGATGATTATTGATGAAAGCACAAGGAAGAGGGGCAAAGTAACACATCAGGTATAAAACTTATAAAAAAATTGTAGTTCTTGCAATATTTCCACTTTGAAGATTTTTGATATTGAAGTTTAAGCTCTATTATCGTACGGATCGTGTTAAACTTCAAGGAGATCTTTGACATATAATATGAAACAAAAATAGAATGGCATATTGCAACTAGAAAAATATGCACCAAAATTAAATAAGAGACTCAGGAGATATGACGGAGTACTTTAAGTATATTGTACAGGAAAAGAACACTGCACCATGGGCATAAGAAAATTAACTTACTGCATTTCGGTAATTCTGATACAACTCCTCCATACCCTGAGCAATATGTATTGGCAATCTTCCAGCTTCTGTCTCTTTTTGTATTCCTATTAAAAGATCTGCAAAAAAATAAAAAATAAAAAATTTGGCATAGATGAAGGTAGGCAAATTATGCAGATACTTCTGCAATAAGATCATTTTTGATACTATTGCAATATGATATAGTGATTAAGAAAACAAAAGTTCGCAAGGGCACAGTATGCTTTCAATAATAGCAGTATGATATAGTGATTAACAGCAATATGCAATATGATAAAGTGATTAATGGCACAGTATGCTTTCATTCATAGCTATGCTTTCATTCATAGCAGAACACAAAAGACAGGCCATGCAAATAGTGAAATCAAAGGTAACAAGGTCCTAGTTAGAGAGATTATCCAATTAAAACATGGAACAGAAATTACTGTTCTTACCAAACAAAACTGAAACATGATAAACCTAAGAAGGATGAAATATTACCATAAAAGGAAAACATTTTTCTTTCCCTAAATCAGTAAAACTTTCATCTAGTAACATTTCAAGGTGCTCCATCAGTCCTACTCTGCTGCTCATATACCATACACCAGAAATTCCAAAATTTTGGATAAATTATACTGAAGAAGCATCAGCAGGCATGACCAATGAGGAATTGCATTTGTAGACAAAAGAATACGTAACCGACAGAGGTGGAAGCAGTGGAGGTTCATAATTCACTTTTGATGCATAGAATTATTAACTTCTAAAGGTAGATCCCTAGAGAAGTTACAGCTGTGATATACATGGACTCTGTATCAACATAAAGAATAGTGGATCCAATGTTTCAGAAAGGTAAAAGTTTTGAGGCTTGGTCTCAAAAAACCCGACCCCTATTAATATAATACTCTTTGTTAATATTCCTTTTATTCTGCTGTTCAGATGAACATATCTAGACATTTATCGTGAAATGCTTACAATGTCTGGTCAGAGATGCAGAACCTTAAAAGACTACAATACGAACTCATCATAATAGATTTGAATGGTTGGAAAGGATTTCATGTTCAATATCAAGTAATGTCCGCAGACTGCATGTAATACTTTCCAGAGGTGGTAAAATCAATCCCATAAACAGTTAGATATTAGTGTTAGCTTAATCTTGCTAGTGAGACCAAAGATTACAAAGGGCAAAAAGTAACCATGCTAAATTATTCTTTCCAGGAATTAAGGGAAATGACTAATAAAGCACCTCCAAGTCATACATACCTCGCCTAAAATCAAATTTCTACCAACCAGACGTAGAAAAGAACAGTAAAGCACAAACAAATACTTGTATAAATAACGCATTGAATACGTTTTGATTAGTTTCCAGATTCAATCAATACCCACAAACTAATATCGTTTCATAAACAATCTCGATTTTCGGATGCTTATGAAATATCAAAATTGCATCAACTGAAATAAACGACTACCTTGTTCAGAACGCGCATCAAGGAAAATCCGAGACGACGAAATCTCGTGGCGGTCTGAGGAGCTGGACGCGACTGTTGCTGCCGCAGCTGCACCGCCTTTTTTCTCGTCCACCATCTCCTCCATTCCTCGAACCTTGGAAGCACAAAACACAATATACGGACACGGGCTCCTCCTCAATCTAGCGACAGCGGCGACCGAGGAAGAGATTCTCGAAGTAGAAGCTACTACTAAATGAGCAGAAGTGGGAAACCTAGCAGTGGTGAACGAAGTGATGAGCGAAGGGGAAGATGAAATAGAGAAAATCATTATAATTTCATTAGTGAATGTATGGTCTGAATAAATTGAGAGAATTATGGTATGGATTGAATTGAAATGGATTGGAAGATTGGAATGGAGGACGAGAAGAACACATTTATCAATCAATTTATTTAGAAAAATAGAATTATAAATTTAGTTATTTAATTATTTATTATCTCAACAGCACGTACTTATCTATCCAGTGTGCGTGAGAGAGAGAGACGTCTATTGGGTTATTTCGTAGCCAATTTTCTTGTCCCTTCTTTGTCACACACCACGAGATAAATACACACAGTCCAACTTTTTGGATGGAAATAGTTAGCATTTTAAAATAATTATTAAATTTTTAACTGGATAGTAATTTCAATGTCTTAATTCTTAAACGATCAAACCCCTATTTGTTTCTCATTATTTAATTATTAAAATAAAAAATATGAATGTTATCCATCACATCAAATTATCATATTTGAATTTTCATCTCTTATGTAATGTCCGTAATGACTATATTTTTCATTCTCATTCTTACATTAATGAGAAACAAACAGAGCAAGAGTGAAAAATGAGGGAAAAAAATTAATAAGAATAGTGATTGTTGTATAATAATTTTAAAAGTATTACGTCTGGCGGGAGAAAAAACTCTGAAAATAAAGTGAAATTTATTTTTTTAAAAGTTGAATAAGTATTGAGAAACAATTTAAAAAGCTCAGGGATTTTTTCTCCAATAAATTGCACTAATTAATTATTGATGAGGATAGGAGTCCTATCCAAAAAAGGGATTATTCTAGTTGGTACATCACATATCGAACGGTGTCCACCTGGCTATTATCATAAATACGAAGTTTTCATTTTATTGAATACCTATTCGGCATAATAACGTAACAAAATGTATCACAATTCAACGTGCGTCGTCCCAGACATAACATTATAAGCAGGGCGTCGGGAAGGGAGCCCAAGCCCCCTCTCAAGCCCAATTAATTTTACAATGGAATATGCCCCGAGGTAAATTCCAGGGTGCAAAAGATAGGAGTGAGATATTTTCAACATTGTTGGCAGTCGCAGTGTGATGGTTCGATTCCTAAGATACGAAATTGGACTCTTTGTGAGCACCAATGTACAGGCAAACTCTTGTTCCCTGACCTGTTGGGGCGCATTCCGTGATTTAACTCTCTCACGTTGCTCTAGAGACTGGACGGTAGGAACCCTCAAAGTTGGGATTCAACCTTTAATTTTACAACGGAATCTTTTTTTAATGAATTTTCTTTTTTTTCTTTTCTCTTTTTCTAACGGAAGATATCAATTTAGTATGCATGTCATATGTGTCTGTCCCCTCGACTTCGCGCCTGATTATAAGGAATAAAACGTGTGTTTTAAGATTATAGGTAATGTCATTTTCTGACTTTGTTGATATTACTAGGCCAAATAATTTTATAATTGATATGACATCTCTTGCAATTATTCATATTACCATTTCCACATTCCAAATGGTTCATTATTTGTGGAAATTACATAAAATCATACTTTAACTATTCAACCTTCTAAAATCAGATTCAAAGTTTCATATTACAATAATCAGAAATATTATTTTAATCAATATTTTACTAATATACTCAATTATATACACATTACAAACCCTAATCATCTTTATAAACACTTCACTCCCTCTCTACCTAACAGCTGTCGTATGTGTGTGCCTCTTCCTCTCCCTCTCTCTCTCTCTCTCTACGTCAACGATTCTGTCGGCTACAAACTCTGGCGATGGACCAATCCAGCCTCTTCGAGATGTCTGGGATGACGCACGGTGAATTTGTTGCGACGGCTGAAGCGATCTAGCAGTGATGTGAAGAGGCGGCTCGATTCGTTGCAATGTGAAGTAGTGGAGGTGCTACGGGGTTGATTGCGCGAAGCGATGTGAAGCACTGGTTTGTAACTGCTTCGATTCTGTGGAGTGGGACAATGCAATGGTTTCATTGGGGGTGGTGGCGGTATAGTGTGGATTGTGGTGGTAATAGGGTACTACCGTACTGGATTGTTGTAGGTGCGACGGTGATGTAGTGATGAGCAGTGGTGGTGGAGGCGTGTGGTTCTGTGGTGGGGACGATGGTTGAATGGATTGGGGGGAACGGTTCTGTGGGAACAGTTTTGTGGTGGATTTGTGTGGTTGTGTGGTGGATTTGCCGTGATGGTGAGATGGTTGTGGTGATGGTTGTGGTGCTGCGATGGTGACAGTGGTGTTGGTGTGGTTGTGGTTGTGGCGGTGGTGGTGACAGTGGTGCTGTAGAGGTAGCGGAGGTTTGGTGGTAGTCACAAATTATTTGATTGATTGTGACTATTAAATTGATTAATCCGTGACTAATAAACAATATGTGACCACCAAAAAGATAAATTGTGACCAAGAATAGTGTGTGACCTAAAAAAATAATAATTCGTGACCTATAATAATTGTGATCTGTGACTTGTAAATAACTTGTAACTTATAAATTTTTTATCCGTGACAAACAAATCGTGACTTACAAAATTTTTGAATTGTGACCATAAACAGAATTTGTGACCTTAAATTTTTTGATTTGTGATTGAAAAGCAAGTTGTGACCAATAATTTGATAAGTTGTGACTAAAAATTAATTCGTGACTAATTAACTTTTTTTATTTGTGATCGATGAACAAACTATGACTTACAAATTTTTTGAATTGTGATCGTAAAATAATTTGTGACATAAAATTTTTTATTTGTGACCAAAAAATAATAAATGATTAATTAAATTGTTAATTTGTGATCAAATTGTATAGATATGTGACTTAAATATATTTAATTTATAAAATAATTAATTAATTAATTTAATAGTAAATAAATTTTAATAAAAATCTGATTTTTGAAATTTGAAACTTATTTTCTTAATTTTGAAATATGCCATACTTAATCTCTCACTTATGAAATTTCCCTCATTATTTTGTGTGCATTTGAACAACATTATTTTGAAAAAAATGTATTTTAAAATAGTAAATTGATGGAGAATATATGATTAAAAAATGAAAAAAAATTTAAATTTGTGTGTAATATTATTTTATTGAACAATGTGTGGTTGAAATAATATCAAATCACTATTTAAAAATGTATTTTTTTTCAAAGAATCCGACTCAAATGTGGCCTTTATTACATAAATAATAGGAGTTAAAATTCACCGACCTCCATTGACGTTTTTACTAATATTCAAAGTAGTGCTTAAGCTAATTATATTACTCTATTGGTCACTGAAGTTATTGAACTTTTCACAATTTCTGAATTTTGATTTTTGTGCATATTTTAATCCAATCCAAAAATTCAAATGGCGCGCCTTGGTGACTTCACAGATGTCCAGGTCAGAATATGGGCCGTTTGAGCTCTATTATTTGTAGATTAAAATGAGATGAATAATATTTTTTTTTTAAAAAAATTAGTGGTTGAAATTTTTTTTATTTACGTTTAATATTATTTTATTGAAGATTGTGTGATTAAAAGTAGGAGAGAGAAAAATTTAAATTAATGTAATGAGAAATAATGGGGCTAAAATTTGTAACAAGTAGTTTTGTTGGTTGGTTAATTAGGCACATTTTATTCATGAAATGGCTTGAATTGATATTAATCTGGATATGACAAAATCATTCTAGTAGATCGAATAAGTTGTTCAGCATCTTGAACCAGTCATCGCTTAGAAGGTATTGTTAAAAGATCATCAATTTTTATAATACCTCGGGAGCTAATGAAACTATTTTAGTAAAATTTAATTGTCTCAATTCCCGAGGTAGAGTAACGCCATGGTAAGGCGTAAGTCATCGATTCAAATACGATATGACAATGCTGCAGCTGTGATTGATCAAGAAGGAAATTCAAAAGGAACAACGAAACCGGAAAGAGAGGGATTCGAACCCTCAGTACTAATAACTCGTACGAAAAGGAGGTAATCCAACCGCACCTTCCAGTACGACTACCTTGTTACGACTTTTCCAGCCTTCCTTCTCCTTTCAGGGCCTATCCGAAAGAGAATTCAGTACAATTTTAACAAAAGAATCGAAGAACCAATTTCAAATTTCCCACAAACTTCAATCACAACTGGAAAATCAACCCTAGTCTCTAGATCACCATTTTAGCCCCTATTTGTCTACCATTAAAAATTTAAAACAAAACTTTTTTTTTTTTTTAATCAAACTCATTTTCAATCGCACATTCATACAATACAATATTTTACACGTCAACCCAAAATATTTTCCTATTTTTTAACCGCATATTTAGGAATGTCATTGGGCCGAGCCGACTCAGCTCGTCAAAGCTCGGCTCGTGGGTTGCTTGGGCTCGTCAACTCGAGCCGAGCGGGGTTTCCCGTCCAATGAGCCGGCTCGTCCAAAAATGTGAAAAAAAAAAATTTTATCAATAAAAATTGAAAAATTAATTCACGAGCTTGCGAGCCACTCATGGGCTCGGCTCGGCCCACGAGCTCGTGGCTCGTGAGTACACGAGCTCATGGGCTGAGCCGAGCTCGAGCTCGGCTCGTGAAAAACGATTCACGAGCTCGGCTCGCCACGAGCCCGAGCGAGGTCGTGGGTTAACGAGCCGAGCCGGCTCGACTCGGCCCACTGATAGCCCTACACATATTCTCAAGAAAATCACTAATCCATAGCTCATTAAAATGGTTATCAAACAAGAACTAGCAGGTAAAATAGAGAATATAATCAACAAGATTTTAACTATTTTTTATATGGTTCAGTATCCATCTTATCTCACTAACAAGTGATGAGCATATTAATAGCTTTAATAAGCCTACTCATTTTCAATAAAGTCAAAATCACCATATTGGCGTTTATGCTTGGGGCCTCGACCACATAGCGGATTTGCATTGTTTTGTCACAACTAACAAGGCTAGTTTGATAATTCTCAAGAAAACAGTAAGATAAAAGGTAGAGAGATCAGTCCAAGAATATAAGCAAATGTCATTTAACAACACAGACAAAACAGTTGATTGATTAAGTTCTGTTGATTCATAAACAGACAATTTTCATGTTTTCTTGTAAATGCCAACTTTGTTTCTAGCCTAATTATCAAAACTAGAAACCGATTATTCGTTTCTCAAGTGACAATCTTATCCAAGGAAGTTCATGATAACCAAGTGAAGCACCAAATTGCAGAGAACAAAATCTGCAAATGCACGTTCTGGAGGTAAATCCTGCAAATTCAAGGTGAGTTAATTACACCAATGATCAATGAAGTTACTTTCTTACCTTAATGATCATTCAAATTTCTAAATGTTATGCAAATAAATAAAAATTAACATTGAATCATTCGTGATGCCGTTAAGTGCCACGAGTCACCAAAGGGCATTATTTATTACGCCAAGTCAGCAAAAGTAGGAAGCTAAGAATTGAAAATTAAACATATTTGGATGAAAAATCGTAACACGGCTTTAATTTTAAACATATTTTCTGGTTTATGTCGTATAGTGAATCCACGCATTTTCTAACAACGAAGTTGTCTTGGCGTTATAAATAATACCTTTGGTGAGACGGTAATTCCAAATTTTTTGATCGAGTGACAGTTAGTATGGCATTGAGAGTGACTATTTTCATAAGAAAATAACTTCAATTAACATAATTACTTAAAAGTTCAGTGAACATTGAGGTAAATAACCTAAGAAACGTTCTGTAGTTTGAACAAATAAAACTGATTTTGACAATTGAAAAATAAGCTGAGCCAAACATACTTCTAGGCTACTCTGATTTTATCAGGCCATGCTACAGGGGCATAACTATTTTTCCCTATGAAGCTACACTGGCAAACATAATAGCCACGTGTTGCCCATTTGGCCATTTCACACTCCGCCAATGGAGTACTATAACAAAATGAGTACAAAAGACATAACGAGAAACTTAAAACAAATAAGCATTCTTTTGGAAGAAATTTCTCAGAGTGAAAAATTAATTTTTGAAAGAAGATTTGGTTAAAAATTAAGCAAAAGCTATACGTTCCATAAAATGTGTGGTTGAAAACGACTTCGAGGAAAAATATATTTTTTTTCAAAAATCTCTCTCAAACAAGCTCTAACGCTACTGGTCTAAGCCCCTATATGATTCTCATTCTTTAAAAATAATATATTCTTAAACAGTATTTTGACATCATTTCAACCACACATTTTTCAATAAAATAGTATTACACGTAAATTTAAAACTTTTATTTATTTTTTAACCACACATTTTCCATCAATAAACTATTCATAAATTCATTCTTATCAAAACAATGGGGTTCAAACAAGGGCTAAACATGTTTTTCGATTTTCTGCCATTATGCGAGACACGATAAAATGATAAAAAAATTTATTGCACTGACAAATGTTACCTTGAATTCCCTGTTTTCTTTGTTCACTTGTATACGTAGACAAACTGCCACCAAAGAATGCTATCAATCAGATGCAAACTATCAATTTTGCAGATTTATACGTATATACACGTATCAATCCGGACATCAACTTACCAGCAAGAACTGCAGTCCCGACACACGAAAGTACCCCAGAAAGAAAGGAGTTGAAAGGGAATGATCCAACAATAGCCATGTAAACAACCTGTTCACAAACAAAAGGGAAAGACAATGTCAAATCTAGAAAGGTAGAGTGCCAACTGTTTCTTTACCTTTAAAAGAGAAACTAAGCCCCGATTGATTTAGATAAAAATTAGATTTTTAGATAATTTTATAAAAGTTATTGGAATGTGGGGGCAATCCCTTGAAATGTGTGTTTAACGTTAATTGTTGACTTTAATAATTTAAATTTAATCAAATTTTTTGGCTAAACTAAACAAGGGCTATATATCTAAAAAGGGAAACAATTCCCATGTTTACTTTGGATAATGTTTACAAACTGTTTATAATCGATCAAACAACTTTTTATCCAAACCTATGTTGAGCACTTGCTCGGGCTTGAGTATGGATGTTTGGTATTGGCACATATCTAGGAGTTGGGTCATTTATCTTATAAAACTTAGGACATGGCTAAAAAAATCTAAAATTTGAACGTGGGTATGTAAATACAAATACGTCTTCAACACATTTCATGAACTCATAAGTAATATTTATTTATTCATCACTAGTATCTAACTATTTATAATTTAACCCCTGTTTGATTTGCTAAAAATCATATTTTTAGCAAATAAATGTTGATGAAATGTGTGCTTCAAAAATTAATAAAAGTTTGTAAGTACTATGAAATTTATGGTTAAAGGCCAAAAATAAATTTTAGAAAATGGGAGCCAAACAGGGGCTTAGACCATTTATAAACTTCCCAAACATGCTTCTAAAGCCGATTTATGTGAAAACACACAGGTACACCCATACCCATAAAGTGAGGCCTGCTTTGTTTGACGAAAATCTGTCTAACTGACATATATCAAGCTTTCTCATCGTATCCATTGTTTGTCATTTCATTGGAGATAGAACTGTGCGAGAAAGATATGTGAAAACTGCTATTATATCTTTTGTATTCTTGATATTATCTTGATGGCTATGTAAAATATCTGTTTTAAGCTAGTTACTGACAGTCAGTCACATGAAATCGAAGTCTCCCAGCGTGATGACCTCTATAATGAATGTCTTTGAGTTGGCCTTAAAAAGGTGACAGGTACTAAACAAGTAAACATTAATACAAGAATGGATGGTCATGCTTGTGAGGATCCAAACTGTTGGAGACCCTGAAGATAAGTATATTTCATATGACAATATGCGCATAACCGAGAAATATTGAACTTTGTTAAACCAATGACCAACTAGAGATTAGTACAAATTACTCCCTACCTACCTTAGAAGTGACAATTCATATTAAGAAATAGCCATCCCGACAAAATATCAGTGTCTTAGAAAGGGGGGAAAAAGAACAAATTGATTTAGACATTCAGAAAATAAGGTTTTGAAATAGAGCTCATATGGAGTATTAAGTGCATCTCCAATGGGTCTGTCTATTCAGGTGAGAGGGGAAAAATAAATAAATAAAGGAGCCACATCAGCAATAGACAATGTGCACCAAAAAAACCTTCCACAATGCTAGTTGACGTAAATAAATAAAGGAGCCACATCAGCAATAGACAATGTGCACCAAAAAGATCTTCCACGGTGGTAGTTGACGTGGACAATGTAAGCCTGATTATGGCAAAAGAACACAAACTGTGAGGAAGGATGTCTATTTGTGGAGGCTGTGGTAGACGATGTCAATTGACTCTCTCTCTCTCGTTATAGTCAACAATTGCAGCTCCTCTCTATCTCTCTCCTCTCCACAGGTAGACAACAATGCATCAATTCACAGAACCATTATTGACGAATTTTGAAATTCAATGTGAATTGAATGAACGTAAAGGTGGAAGCCGTCCATTTTTGTTGCCATGTAGACAGCAATCTTCACAACCCACTGGAAATGCTCTAAACATCACTTTCTCAACTACAACTGTACCGGTCTTTTTTCACTTTTTGTCGAGGTGAAGAGACCAATGGTTTAGATGTGCAGTTTCTAATAGTTGATAGAACGAGCAACAAAGTAAAGCAGAAAAAGGAAGCAAAAATATTAAGCTAAAAGGTATCCCAACCGCAACTGAGCTTTGAAAGAGTGGTTGAAAAGGATAAATCAGGTATTCAGGCATTTTGTCTTCACGAGGTGAGAAGTAAGCCTCAATACACTTTATGGTGCAATCCTCAATGAAACCAATAATGAAGTTGTTTATACTAGGGATCCAAAATTATACTCGTAAACCATAAATCATCTACCAGTTTGTAATTCTACAAAGAATCATTTCAACAAAATTGAAAGTCTCTTTGTAACTAGAAACAAAAAATGGATTAAATATATTAGTAGATAAAGATAATATATAAAATGAAGAAAAAATCAGATAAACAAATGAAGCAACTAAAAATTTAAGAAATTTTCTTGCTTTGACTTTAAAATAAATAACACAAAACAACCAAAAACCAACTAGAAAAACATAAAAGAAAGACAGGAAAAATGTTATGCCTCACAAGTATTCTAAAATAATTCTTAGGGCCCAACTGCATTTTAGAACAACCCAAAGTGCAAGTTTGGTATACCATCTAGTACAATATAATACATGTCTAATACTGCAAACGTGCACTAAAAGTTCTAGGATATGAAGTAAAGTAACCCAAGAGGTTTGAGAAGTATAAAAAAGCCCAGAAAACGTATGACTAACACACTGCTTTATTACTTGGTGCATACTTTAGACAGTTGAAGGTGTATTCTTTAACAAACGCAACTTAAGTCATAAACTTAACACTTTTAATGAAGGATTCACATGAGGCACACCTCCAGCTGTATACTTCATGCACTTCTGAAGACAATGCTTTTCAAATAGGAATAAAGCATCGCTTGTTTAGTGACCAAATTTCTTCACTGAGAGTTTATTAAAAGCCCATATAATTCCATGTCAAAATGATGACTACAATCCAAAGACATCCACTACACAACTCAACTGGTCCAACCACTATGGTTTACATAACTTGGGGAGCAAGGTATTTATCTATAAAGTTCAATTTAAGTTCAAAATTAAGCTCAACAAAGTAATAGGTATCATATTATTTCCCAGCCATATATCATTTTTATAAATTTTGCAGGCATCAATGAACTTGTTGATATCAAAACTTCATGGCCATAAATAGTTTTCAGATTAGTCTTTTTTTTTTGAGAAACTGACTAGGAGCGCTACTGCACCGGAACACAACATGAAAATTTTGTTTCCACTAAGCTAGAAAAAATGTCTGGCATTACTTGTATTGAGAAGGTGAATCTATGTACAAATAAAAAAATCATTAAAAAAAAAAGGTGCACCCATGCACCTCAATCAATTAGGTCAGCAGATGGGCATGGCTCTTCAACCTCCAGTTGATACTCGGAATGTTCTTCAACTCTATTTTTTTTGTTTTATTTCCAATTGAACATGAAATTATTTAACTATCAAATGGAAATAACAAAGTCATTGAATTTTTTGTTCAAATCAATTTAAGTGAGCACCAGAAATCTCATGAGAAGTTAATGTATACGTAGGGGCATAAATAGATCAATTACCATACCTGAATTACAGCAGTGACAACTGCAAATATAATATACAAATCGATGATCTGCAAAAATAATTATTAAACATACAAAGAAAGAAAGTAATCAGATGGGTTTCTCTGCGTGTATGTAAATATAGAAGGAAAAAAAAAGGCTGAGAAAGAGAGACACCTTGAGATTAGCGGGGGTTGCCACATACGCAGAGCGAAGAGAATGAAAAAGTGCTTGGGCATCCTTTGATGTCGTTGTTCTCCCCATCTTTTTCACTTTTTGTGCGCCTGCTAATACAGTGATCTGGAGAAAAATTCAAGAATCAGCCGATTAGCTGGGCAATGGCCCCTCAAATAAGCCTCGTCAGGCTATGGACCAAAATGTATTCTCGATATATGGGCCTATAATCAGCCACTCGAAACCAGTATATATCAAATATTTTTGCATGAAACTTCAATTTTTTGAGCACAAAATAACTAGTGTCTTTGTTGTGTAAAAAAAGAACTGTGTAAATCATTCCATGAGACCAGATCAAGACGGATTCTTCATTATATCAAATAACCCAATTGTATCTACATTCAGTCTTCAAAGCCATGGATGAAGCAAAAACATGAACACACAATTCCTCTATCTATTTTAACTATAATCACGTTATAAAAACAGGTAGTCTCCTGAAGAATTTAGACTTCAGCTACTTGATATCATTATAAAGATCCACAATCACACATCAGACTTTTACTTAAGATTAATGATGTGAAATGCACTAATCTTACATTTCATAAATTCAGAAATAGGAAAATCCATTACTTTCTTGACAAATTTCACACATACTCTAACTGATCTTCATAGATATCACAAATTTTACAACAATAAGGAAATCTACAGCTTATAATACCAGAATTAAAATAAAAAGAAAATTGATCGCATCGAGATTATACCGTTCCGATATGTAGAGAAAGCACAAAAAATAAACAGAAAATTAAAAACTAAGATGAGAAATTTACCGTTTGCGATCGCGGATATGGCCGCCGGATCTGCCGCTGTATCACCAATTATACTGAGAAGATGAGTCACAAGTTGCAGTCGTCTCCTTCACGGCTTCACTCTCCAAGTCTTCCCAAGTTTGCTAGAGGGTTTTTACTGCTGGGCTTTGATTAAAACGGCCCAACTATACAAACTTTTTGCGAGAATTAGACAATATTGGTAAAATTTCATAAATAAGAAATTAAATATTACTTACTTCAAAATTAAAAAACAAGGTTTAAATTTACAACAATAAGATATTAAAGTCAAATTATATTTTATTTATAAAATAATCAATTAAAAATATATTTTTTTAATTAAATATATCAAGATCACAATTATATACAATTTGATCACAAATTATTTTTCGATCACAGAACAAATTATTTGAGTTACAAATCAAAAGTTTTATAAGTCACAATTTATTTGTCAATTACAAAATTACAAATTTTATAATTTACAACTTTTTAACGATTACATATTATCAAATGAATGGGTTACAAGTAATTTTTCGATCACAACTTAATAAATTGTAAGTCGCAATCACATCTTATAAGTCATATATTGCTTATTAATCACAAATTAATCAATTTATTAGTCATAATCTACCAAATAATTGATCACAAATTATTTATTGATCATATATTAACCATTTTTTTGTTAAAATCAATCAAATAATTGGTCACAAAAACCCTACCACCCCACCCCCATGCCCACCCCACTTCCTCCATCACCGCCACTATTACCACAACCCCAACCAATAAAAATTTTCAAATCTGCTGCGAGGGCACCATTTCCACCACCAACCCCTGTATCAACAAAATCACCACCTTCGCCACTATCAAATCTAAAAACATCATCATCAGATCCAACAAAACTAATCTCCTCCGCCAGATTCACCGTTACTACTAGATTCACCACCATCGTAACCAACAAAAACCACCACAAAAACATGTAAACCAACGTAACCACCATTCACTGTACGAGATGTTTACTGAGTCCAACACAAGCCAGCAACCCAACCCTATACAAATGCACCACCACCACCAAATCGACCAATACCATTGCACTACCACCACTATGTCAGTGATGGCAAATCGCGTATCACTAAGGGATGAAGCCATCACAGCAATGATGCACCGCCTCTTTTGGCGGTGAAGGTAATAGGAGGATAGATCGCTATCGACAATGGTGCTCAATGAGGTAGAGAGAAGAAGAGGTAAAGAGAGAGAGGAGAGGGAGAGAGAGAAAACTAATTGAAAATGGGGACAACTTTGAGAATGGCTGGTAATTTCTTTCTATTTTTCACAATAGCCTTTCTTGTCAAAAATACTATATTGTCCTTAATGAAATTATTAACAAGATCTATCTTATATCTTTAGGGAATTGTCAATCAGGTCCTATATCTATATTTTTCAATCTTTTGAACATATTTAAATATTCTTTATATTTTAATAATTCTTCAAACATTATAGGTTGACCTTTCTTAGTTATATATCCATTAAATAATCCTTCTGAGATTTCTTCTTGTATATCCGTATGTTTAGTTATAATATCTTCTACTTTTCTTATTTCTCTATGAGTTCTCACAGGATCAAATCCTATATTATTCTTACAACTATAATCTATATCTCTATATATTTCTTCAATTTTTTCTTTACCAATAGGGAATATAACATCAGATTTTACATCTAATTTAAGCAAAAAAGAAACATCTTCTTCATCTAAAAATAAAATGAGATTATTATCATCATTAACAGTAGAAGTGGATGCTTGTGAATTGTTCATAAAAATAATTAAAACATGAGCATGTAAAGATAAGTAAATAACTTACAGTAATCAAGTGGAAATAAACAGGTTTTCCCTCCAGTATGTTCTTATAGATGCTTTGCATGTACTTAATCAATCTTCTGAATCAAGTAAAGATTAAAAATGTTTTTGAAATCATTTGGGTCCACAACTGCTTCCGCAAAAGGCTTTTCAATTAAGGTTGCATTTCTCATTCTAGAGAACTAGCCGTGTTTCCACAGACGCTATCTCACAGTATCCAGAGTCTCTATTTTCACCTCTATCCATACTCTTTTCAGAATCAAGTTCCTACTTGGAATGAAATTTTAAAAGATAACTCACACTCAAGGTGCTACAATTTTTTGTTAGTAAACTGCCCTTTTCCCCTAAACCATTCATCAAAGAAGGGTACTTTGGCATGGCTAACATCCATTCAAAATCAATGTTTTGAAAATCTTTTAAAATCTCTATCTGTACTGCCGAGGAATCATGAGAAACTTAACGAAATCCTTTTATGAAAACTTTGTTGAACATAACAAACTTTACTTTAATATTCATAAACTGAAATTGTACATGCTTACAAACTATATTTACATACCTTTGGTACTCACACTTCATAAGTGATTACCTTATTACACGCTTTCCTATCTTCAAGCTATCTAATATTTCTCTGAATACAAGTAGTGTATACAGATTACAAGGAATTTTTCTCTAATGTGTTATCAGAGAATAGAGATAGATTTTTCGAGATATCTTCCTTCTTCCTTCATGCCTCCTTTTATAGGAGAGTTTGAAATCTTATCTTGGACAGATGTCTTCCACTTTCTTTGTTGGGTAGCAAGGCATCTTATCTCCATCGAATTCTTCATTGTCTTCTTGCTATATGGACCTCTCCTTTGAAAATTATGTGCCTTATCTTTTGAATTTGTCTGCCACTTGTGTCAACTAGTGGGTAAGTTGTCACAATAATGGAGACTTTCTCATATTATTTCTTGTCTTTAGTAGCCACAGTTTTTCTTTAATAAATTTCTTTATTAAAGTAGTGATAAAGGGCTACTTCAATCACCATCATTTCTCCATTTTTGAATCAAAGAATTCTGCAGGGAATTCTTCATCGTTAAGAGATGCTTGGCTCATATCTTCAACAACACAGTATTCACAGTGGTGATCACTGTAATTCCAAAGTAACTTGCATAATTCCTTAGCCATATCTTCTGATCCATGCACTTGGTTGGATATAATTGCTGATAATAAATGGTCAAGATAACAAAGATCTTCCTCTTTAGTGGTCATCCTTGCACTGGAATATATAATATGATCTTCAGAAGGATAAACCCATATTTTTTCTTTCTCAGTGATAATCTGAGTTACATGTTCAAATATCTCTTTATACCCTTTAGCTCTTCTATAGGGCATCCTATTAAGAATATCTTGATATCCATTTTTAACAACCTTTTGATTGGCTGGTAAAAAATGTTGATTTGTTAATCCCATTTTGATCACATGGAACGATGGATGCATATATTCAAGGACAGGATCCCATTCCATTGTTGCTGAATGGAATCTGATATATATATTTGTTGTTTTAACAACTTCAGTATATCTCTTGACAGCTTTCCTGATGTTGGCTGGAAGCTGAGCTATCTCTTTAAGATCTTTGCTTGGATATATACAAAGTATATTTCCTATTTCAAAGCAATTTTGAACCCAATTGGCTGGTGCACCTGAATAGAAATTTATCTTGTTGTATTTTGAATAGTGGAGAGTCTTCATCCACTTTCCAATTTCCAAATACCAATCTGATAGAATGTTAAAGATAACAATAAACAATGTTACTTCTTCATAACTATCTTTTCTTGGCATTTTTGCTTCATGGCATATTTTGACAATATCTTTAGGATCTATTCTTTCAATAGAAAGTTTAGATTGAGTTTGGCTCTGAGAAGAGCTACCTTCTCTTTTGATAACTGGAATATCTTTATTACCAGTAATAGTTTTGAGTATTCCCTGTGAAGGGGTTCCTATTACTTTCTTTTCTTTCCCTTTATCCTCGGGAAGAGCGCTAGTATTCACAAGTCCCTGCGAAGGGATACTAGGCTTGGTACAAGTATCTTCTACCTCAAGGGCTATATTTTTGCCTCGAAGATTATCTTGGATATTTTGAATTTGAGCTTCCAAATAGGAAACTTTAATTTCAAGTATCTGGACTTTCGTCCTTAGTTGTTCTAGCTCCATCCCTGCTAAGATAATCAGGAAGAAAGTTAGTTTTACCTTTTATGTATTCAATATCAAATTTGAAATATGAAAACCAAATTTGTATCCTAATAATATATCTATTATTAATAGATGGATCAACATTATTTTTTAAGAATGCTTTAACTTGGGTATTATCAGTTCTAATTAAGAACTTTTTTGGTAATAAATAATCTTCATATTTCTGAACTCCTCTTTTTACAGCAATGAGTTCTTTTCTGTTTGTCTCATATCTAGTTTCAACTTCTTTGAATGTTCCCGATATATAACCTGCAAGTATTTCATGACAAGAACAATTTTTTTCACATTTATATTCTTTATGATTCTTTTTAACTTTTAACACTGCTCCCCAATAATAATCTGAAGCATCAGTTTTCAAGATAAAAAAATCTTCTTCTTGTGGTATTACAAGTTTGGGTAATACCTTTAACTCTTTTTTAACTTTCCTTATATTTTCACAGTCTTTTTCTTCCCAAGACCACATTATATTTTTTCTTAATTTTGGAAGAAAATAATTTTTCAATTTAGCACAATTTTCAATGAATCCTTCAGCATAATTCAATATACCAAGGAAACTTTGTAATTATTTTTTATCTTTGATTTCTTCAGAAAATTCTTGAAGTTTTTCACCAATATGAGATTGCAACTGCAATTCTCCTTCTTTTATAAATAATCCTAAAAATTCAATTTCTGTTTTAACTATCTCAGCTTTATTTTGAGAGAGTATAATACCATATTTTTTCATGATATAACAGAATTTCTCAAGATGCTCAATGTGTTCATCAATATTATTTGAATGAATAAGTAAATCATCTACATATACAATACAAAATTGAGTAATTGGTTTAATTACCTCATCCATTCTTCTTTGGAATATCTGTGGTGCATTTTTCAACCCAAATGGCATTACATTCCATTCGTATTGTCCTAAAGGATTGGGGGTACTAAATGCAGTTAGTGGTTTACTTTCCTCTGTAAGCATGATTTGCCAAAACCCTGACTTACAATCAAATTTTGAAAATATCTTTTTGTTTTGTACTTGTTTAATAAGGATATCCTTATTTGGCAAGTAA